ACCAGGTAGCTTGTAAACATCGTTAACAAGTTAAAGCCTCGTATTAGTTTGCCGGATAGATGATGAGCCAATGTATAATGTTTCTTTTTTCTCGTACTTTTACAAAAGTTTTAAAGAAAGAAAATTGCAGATTTGACCAATATGGAATAAAACGCGTTTTAAATTAAAAATTACATCATTTTACGCATTTTTTCTGGTCCGAATATAAGCTTCTATCAATTAAATTTTACATTTAGCAAAAATTTTTGTTCCATTACTTTTGGAACATTATAAAACTAACAAACCAACGACAGAAAATTTCATAATTAAAAATGTTTTGAAAGAAGGCTAATTGTGCTGTATTAAATTAAAAAATCAACAAAAATAATGACCTTTTTAAGTAAAGTTATTTAGCACAAAATGTGCAAGATGTTGAATAATATTTGCACAAAACCATAATTTGTCTGTGTGTGATGATCCTGTTCGTTCTTCTCATTTTCAACAAACGTACAAAAGAAATAGAAATACAGATGGTAGAAAGAAAGGAGAAAAGAAAAGCTAGTAATGCCAATAGATTAAGTAGAAGCCCATTATATTTCGTGGTCTGATTGACCAAATAACTTCTTCAATTAATTACTCTTTTTATGTAGGGTGTTGGTTGAAATGAACAAGTTAGTGTCACGAGCGGGATTCGAACCCAGTCGTGACACTCACTTTTTCATTTCAACCAATACCGTACATAAAAAGATTAATTAATAACTCGAGCCGAAGGTCGTGGGTTCGAATCCCGCTCGTGACATTAACTTTTTCATTTCAACCAATACCTTACAGAAGAAAATTAATTAATTGAATTAAGTAGAAGGTTAAACGTGAAGATAGAATAGTAAAGAGAGTTCGGGTAAAATTGTTAAGATAGACTGAGAGAGAAGTTTCGCACTGAAGATGGCACAGAGTCGAAACGCTTTTGAGTAAACCCGTTAGTGTAGGCCGACCAGCAAGTGCCCCAGTTTAACAATATTGGTTAATTTTGGTAATTTTGTTTTTTCTCAAAATTTGAACGTTCCGAAAAATTTTTAGTGATATAACATTCAGATTAATTATTTGCATTTCATTATTAAAGCCTTTATGACTTTTTGAGCAAATTTATATACTTCGGTAGAATTTCGTTAAAAACGAAGCACTAACGTTTTCAGCATTTCTACCGTAATTATTTAATAGAAAAGAAATGTATGAAGTTTTGGAAGGCTGCTTGTTACATATCTACTACTTGTTAAAAGTATGTCTAAATCATGTCTAATCATTCTGATCCACCTTTCGTCCCTTTATTTGGTGGGATTCGTTCGTGTTCTTCATTTTGTCGGAACAATCAATGTCGTTCAAACTTCTTTTACTATTTTCATCCGTTTATTCTAGCTGAATCGGCCTGGCTCCGCGTTTCGGCCACTCACCGTCCTCAGTACCGGGTTGGTGTAACGACCTTATCAGGTTCATAGCTGCAAACCTGGCTCAACAGCCAAAACGATTCAAGACAACAACACAATAGAAACAATTAATAAAACAGGAAATTTCACGGACCATTAACAACACACAGTTTCAAATTACTCCACGACGTACAAAAAGAAACAACATAAATATCCTTGATACCATTAAAATATGTCAACAGAAATCGAACACTACTAAAAATACACATGAATAAATTAGCTAGAGTTCTCACACATCATTTACATCAATAAAGATACATTATAAATTAAAAAGAATAAAAGGACCTTACATGTCACATTTTCATAAAACAGACTGAGCTGAATGAAAATCACACCACCACTGAAGATTGGGAGCGGGTAAAGGTTTGACAGAATATAATAAAAAGTTTGGCCAGCTGAAAATTATTGTAAATGGCCAACCTACTAGTTTATCACCCCACAGACCTCAAGAGAAAATCTCACAAAGCTCTTTTATTTTAAAAGCTCCGTCCATTTTACCCGAACAAAAAGAGCGTTTACTGTTTATCAAGTATTTCTTCTCGAAATTTTCACGAAGTAAAAAATGGTCAACTGGGGTCATTTACGAACCATTACGTGCCATCAACAGCTATGACTCATTTCTTCAGAAGTTTGTACAAAGCTTTGATAAAGGAAATTGCGGTCGGAAGGATGCCATAGGAGACCCTCGCCCTCTTGAGGGTACTCATAGTTTTTCAATAAACAGAGAGGGCCGAGGGGATGTTTATTGGTGGTAGAGGTTTCATGGGGTAAGGGGGCGAAAGTATAAATCTGTGGGTAAATGTCTGAAGCGGGGCGACAGTAGCACTTCCCCCTCGCAAATAATGGGAAATTGGTCATGTGCGTGCGTGCGTGCGTGAGTAATAAATAGAGAAGGGCGAGGGACATTATGTTTGGTTAGCTCTCCCACCGACCCCAGCACTAATGAGAACTCGCACGCACACGGCCCAGCTAATGATCCCAGTCAACATACGCCGTTTTTCACTCATTTTTATCGATCCTTCCCACAAAGCACCCCTGGATTCGCACCCCTCCGCAAGCACGCTTCTAAATCATGGAGTAATGTGTACATTAACACATCTGCAACAACCGCCCCCCTCGACGATCGATAATTCTTTTTTGCCCTCTCGAGAAGAAAGGACCTCGTTTAAAAAAAAGGGGGACTATTCATGTAATCTTTTCACGATTCATTTGCACTCCCCCCCTTGAGTGATCACCCTACCCTCCCTGACTTTCAATATTTCGATCGATGTTTACATCAGGATTTATATCGCCATTGTAATTGGTATGCAGCTGCACGGTTTTATCCTTTCAAAAACCACGTTTTACTTGGATTATCTACTTATCTTTAATGTAGGAGATTTAGAAGCGTTCAAATCAGTGAACCTGCATTTGCATTTAGATACTGGAAGAAATTCATCCACCTTACAATAATAAACAAACTCCTGTTGTTTAAAATTTTGTCGATCTATCCATTGGCGTTGTTTAACTTTGTCGAAGCGTATTCTAAATGTTAACCATTTGCCATATCCAGTTTGTTCTGTGTGTTGTACTTAATGGAAACGACCAAATCACAAGTTTATCACCAAGAAACCTCAGCAAGAATAATAATAACACGAATTGTAAAAAATACGTTAAAATATTATACTTTTTTAAATAGTGAAACATAAAAACAATAAAGAAAGAAAGAAATTAAAATTAAAATAAAAAGCTATTTTTTAAAGTAATCTGTTTTGACTCGCAAGATAAACATAATAGCTTGGATAAGGGAATTAGAGAGAGAAAGAGCGTTTTCAAGAGTCGGTGGTTAAAGTGACAAAGAGATGATGATTGGATGGAACAACATCCGCCAGGCAATGTATATATAACGAGGCGTCAGACAAGCTATTTCCAGGCTGAAGCTTCCCCAAGCTTCTTATGGAGTTAGGTCTAAAGTACTCCCCCGGGCCGACAGAAACTATTAATCCACGAGTGCCTTATTAGCCGGCCCGGACTGACGCCGAACCACAAGCCCGTCGGTCCTTCTCTAAGAAAACGCTTTCTCACGGATTAGAAGCTAGTTCATGAAATATCGCTTTTGATCTCCTACGTATCAAAGGAGTGGGGATTAACACCATCCTGGATTTGCATGTCACACGTTTTAATTTAAATTTCCAATGCTGGCCGCTGGCTCAAAGGTGATAAGTTTCCTGCGTTTGACGTGTTGATGATGACACGTTTACCAACGTAATCCATATCATTCTTTCTTTTTGTTATTTTCCTCAGAGCGTTTTATGTCTTCAGCAATCCCATGTTGTTCAACTTAAACATACTTGACCAATTAACCTATTGAAGACCTATTTTTAAGATAAATGGAGTTATCCTCAACTACAACCAAATAACCATATCACTCTACATATTAAAGTAAATGTCACGTGTTTCTCTAATTTGAAAATGTGTTTGTATGGTTTTCTCAATTGTTTAAAGTAAAAATGCCCGTGAAGAATAGCTTGATCTCAAACCATCATGGTTCGACGGTACTTCACATTGTCACACAGATTTGATATTATGCTATCAATACAGGTTGTTCAGAACGCGAGACTTAGTTAAAAGCCACTTGTTGCTTACCGGCTTTCCTTTATTAGAGTACAATGCGATATTTTTCAATTAAAAATGTTATAAAGGTTTTTTTTTAACTGGGCGATTTTACATTAGGCTTTTTCGTATCGATCGTGTTTTACAAAGTTGTCAGACCTCAACAATGATGTTTATATGAAAAGTCAGCATTATGAAAAAGATAGGAAGTGGAATTAGGCTAAGAAGAATTTTAACTAGATCCATACGCTGATTAGAATATGGGTTAACGTCCCGAATGATTCGCTTTGATCTTGATGTTTGTGTGACCTGTACAAAAAAATTAAATATTTTCGGAGATACTTTTCCAAAACTATTATTATTTTGAACTGAAATTTATTACGAAAGATGGGTAAAAGATGCTGGACAACAATGGTTATGATATTGTTTTTAGTTGTCGTAAGGAATGCCAGCAGAAGCGTTGAAGTTAGGGTTTTACATCACCCCGCTTATACCCTGACGTTGCACCCTGTAGCCTCTTTTCTGGCTCATTTGCACTTTTTTTTTTTAAATGTTTGCCATATAAAAATAAAGATGATAGTACGAATTGATTGCAAAATACAATTGCGACTGAAAGGAGGGATTACTTAATATATTAAGACACCTGTAGGTTCTAGTTATATTTAAAAAAATATGTAGAAATAGTATGAACTTGCTTCACTTTCCTAATAACCTTGGCTGTTCCTGAAATTAAACTATATTCAGCTTCAATAGCACAGTATTTGAAAAGTCTGCACTTCGACAACCACGATGATTCTTCTGCGAAAAAAATCCCTGCGTTTGAAAAAGAGAACAATGAAGAAACATCTCGAGGTAGTGTTCTGCCTCGCCCAGCTTATAACCCTGACGTTTGTTCTGCTTCTTCTAAAGCTGTTTTAAGCTTTATTGGTACATTATAAGGAAAGTGTAGTACTCGCTTCGGTTGTACATATACTAAAATTGGAACAATACAGAGATGATTAGCAAGCCCCTGCGCAAAGATGACACGCAAAATCGTGAAACGTTCCACATTAGAAAAGTCTGTACTTCCGAAAACAAGGATGGTGGATTGGAATTAAGGCTTTGGTAGTTTTTTCGCATCGATGCTATAGTACTAAAAGAACAGTAGAAAATAACGAATGAAAATAAACGTATGTAGTAACAATTCAGCATTAACTATGAGCATTTAAAAAAACGGTATGTAATTTAAGATAAGAGTAATAAAACAATGTACGTCAGCCCTGAAAAATGTTTAAAAATCATTCTAAAACGGAGAGGAAAAGGAAAAATTATGTTGATCGATAGTCCAAGCCCGTTTAAATAGAAGGATTTGCTTGTAAACGTTAAATTTACCCCAACCATGCGCCCGTGGGCGAATTCCCATGGGTCATTTAGTATTAAATTAACAAATTCCGCTAATAAGGACTCCGTTGAGCGAGGAATGAACCACTTAACCGCACTGAAATATGTAACAGGGTAAACGGAGTCGGGTCGCAAGTCTGGCCAACAATGAGGTATGGTCAGGTGGTCGGAGGCATTGTGCTTGGACAATGGTTTCCGTTGCCATGTGGTATTACGGGTTCGGGCCCACGCGCCGTCACAGGACAATGGTTTTGAATACTTTTATCTTGCTCACCCGGCCGTCAAACACGCCTCTGCCCAAAAGGCCTAAGGGAGTTTTAACACGAAAAAACATAAAACTCCCTCGGCGGAACCGATGGTGTCCGTATATCGTACGCCTTCGGATCCCATTGCTATCTAACAGGAAAACCTGATAAAAGTCTTCTCTAAGCATTTCAATTATTTATTCTGTTATTTTAGGAAACTAAACAAATTCAAAAGCTAGGTAATGTACATTTCAAGCTTACGAAAATGACAAATGCTTACGAAAATCTACTATTCTACCACCAAGAGCAACATTGAGCTTAAAGTCAATTCAAAAACTGAGCTCAAAGTCAGTCCAGATTTGTATATTATAATGATAATCTTACAAAATATTTAAAAATATATTTTCCAGAACGCGAAACATATACATTTTACGAATACACAAATATGCTAATGAAACCATAGTAGACAACAACATACTAACAGAACCCCCTTACAAAATATTCCCTGCAGAAACCAAACGCAACAGCAGCATATACTTCCTAGACAATCAATACAAAACAGGCAGCAAGTTTATGTCCGACTTATGTAAAAAACCGACGGTAAGAAACAACATGACTGGTAACAAAAAACTGACACAAACCACCAATTTGACAACAGGTGGACTGATCAAAATTAATAAATGTGAAGTACAAACAATAAAACTTAACGAAAGAAACTAACAAACTAAGTACATACAAACACAAATCATAAATTAAAAGAACCACACACGCAAAGACCGTAAAACTAATCAACTTATTTAACGAATCATGCATAAAAACTGCGTTAAAGCCAACAACAAATGCAATATTTAAATATTTGGATAAAACATCGACAAGACCTATTAGACAAAAACAGCACTTGTACAATATCATGCGAATCACGAAAAAATTAAATAAAAAACACAAATTTAATCGGAAATTGCTAAAAATACGTGCTATTTACTAAGTGTCTATCAGCCTTTGAGAAGCTGGCTGAATATTTTTAAATTAGCGTAACATGTCCGAAAGTTTTTGTCTAATCCTTTCAGTCATAATCCATACGGGCAAGATATGCTTATTATCTCACTTCAGCAAGGAATAAGACATGATGTCATAGCTGTTAATTAACAGACAGACTTAGCGACGCTATTAATCATCAGAGAAACAGCCTGAGAAGCTATGTTCGCCGCTCAACAGTTGGGTCGCAATGGAAAAAATCTGGGTTAATGTGCTACATAGTAAGCACAATCTAGTGTTGTAGAATGTCCTTCATCGGGAAAGAAGAGGAGAAAGGGATCGTTTTCGTCAAATTGAGGATGGAACATTGGAAAGCCATCAAGAATGTCATGACGCACGTACTTTATATTATGATCGAGCTTATAGAAGCTCTATTCTGCAATATACAGCTGACTCGAGGAAGCTGGGAATATCACATACTGGGGTGTTTTAACAGTCTCATATCAGTCCCACTGCTGAGGTTAGGCTCCAGCTATCGACAGCAAGTTCATTTCAGCCCAAAAAATACCTGTGTTTAAATCTAGATAGACTCACTTATTCTTTATTTTCTATATTATATATTTTCTCTTTACACATCATGCTCTCACATAGGCTGGTGGAGTTCTCAATATTCTGCCATCGGCACTCTTACACTTGTAGAAATGAATAAATTCAATATAGATACACAAAAAAGAAACACAAAACGAAATATGTATCAAATGCTATTACAATAAAACCGTACTTTTTCCTCCAAAATTTCTAACAGCGAAGCAAAAATACTCTCTGCCGAGTTCACTATTTCATATCGCGTGGCATCTACACGCTCTTTATATGGAGCCAAGAAATATCACCCTTCAATTGTGTGGGACGCATCGAGCAACCTTCCGGACAAATGGGCGGAGTTTGGTCTAAAAAAAATTATCCGTTTGCCAACCTCACATTCTCAATCGATTTTATTCACTCAGGTAGGTGGAGAAGTACTTCATACTCTTCATATCGCCTATTGCACATACTTCATAACACCTCTGCTGTTGCGAACCCTCGTTTAAAAAAAAAAAAAAAAAAATATATATATATATATATATATATATATATATATATAAAGAGAGAGAGAGAGAGATATCTACCATTACAATAACAGCCTTTTTTCATCACAGTTCAAAATAGAAGACACACATACCTGCTGCTCCGATTAAGCACAATTGTCATACCGGATGGCTACACGCTCTCTAGATGGAACAAAAACCTTCTTTCACGAAGGACACATCGAGCAACCCTTCTATGCAAGGCGGAGTTACACGCTGGTTATGACCCATGAGTGTCCATGTTTAAGTGAGTGTGTCCTGCCGGTGTTTTCCACCAAACTCATATAATATATAAAGCAGTAAAAAAATCTTAAAAACTTAACAGTCACTCGACATTCGAAACCTTTTTGCTACCTCTTTTAGACATTTATAGCTTGCCTTCAGATAAACAGTGAGGGTACGCGGATCAGAGGTACGGAATTTGAATAAAACTGCGATCGTCTGTTTCAAAGGAGTTGATTAAAACAAACAACCCTCAAACTTAAGCATCTGTGCGATTAACTCGTTCCATAAGAGAGGGGAAATTATGTAAAAATATTCCTGGATTAGGCGGAAAGACGGAAAGGAAGGCTATTTAGCTTAAGTGTACAGCGCCGTTACACGTGCCTTCTCTCCCCTTCCGGAGCATCCCCCCTGACTCGGAATCAATTCCACGCCCCTGCATAAATCGTGCGGGATCAGTGTTTTATTTAGTTCCCTACACTCCGAGACCAGGTGCCCCGGGAAAACCACAGTTATTTGTTTCGGCAGAAATTACAACTCGCCTTCCCGTCTACGCCCCAGCACCCACCCCTTCGCCGTCCGGGAACATCATTTCGTTAACTCTCATAAAATGGGGGGGGGGGTTTCGAGGGTTGGACGGCGTAGAAATTGGTCATGAATATTAACAGCTCGTTTTATATTTTAAGAGCGTAAACAATTCATACGGAATACGTGATAGCACGCCACATGTTAATGGGATATGTGCCCTAATAATTGGCAGCATGAATATCCAATCATCGAACCGGCCTCTTAACCAGTTCAAAAACCGATTCTACTATCTCGTTGAAATAAAAACAATTAGAATAAATCATTATTAATGCAAAGATTTAAAAATAACTTTTATTTTTAATGCATATTTATTATATAGAAAATATGTTATTGAAAAAAAAAATATATCGGGCTTTCCATAAATTTTTTTTATCATATTTAATAGTAAAGCCGGGAACACACTGCACTTACGGTACCCGACGCAAATCCAAACTCCGATTTTCCATAAGGTTGCATTCCCCCGTGCACATCTACCCGATGGCCGATGCTATGCCACGCTAACCTACCCGACGCTCTGCGATCCCCACTGTCCAGATTTTCGTACAGTCGAAGACAAAAGAACCGGACACTCATATTTTTATTCAAACTACATGTATTATTGTGGTTATATTAATTACAACATACTTATTTTAATATAAACCAAATTAATTGTGATTCAAAATTAATTAGTTTTTATTTAAAAAATTAATTTTAATGGTTTGGTAGAAAATTAATCAAAACACCGGAATACGATTTTTTGATATACTGAATTTAACTAACAATTTATTGTACTCGCTGCGGCGGTACATATACTAAAATTGGAACAATTTATTACAGGTTTTGCTCATAAAATTTAATTATCAATTTATTTCATAGTTTTGCTCGTAAAATTACACCATTTTCGTCGGGTAGCATCAGAACAGGACACTCATATTTTTTCTAGTTTATTTCAAACTAAGTACATGTAATTTTGTCGTTATATTAATTACAACATGTTATTTTAATGTAAACCAAATTGAACGAGATCAAAAATCCATAAGTTTTTATAAACATTGTTTAATTATGATGGTTAGGAGTAACTTTATTTAAAACAATTAAGTTTAACAAACAATTTATTAGATGGTTGTGTTCATAAAAGTTAACTCACAATTTATTACAAGGTTTTGCTCAAAATAATGCATTAAGAATAAAAGATGCCTGGCGATTGTAATAGTGATTATTGTGATTAACGCTGTGGACTGTATGCGACGTGTGCTTGCGTCGGATAGAAAATGTGCACACCCCACCAAAACGTGGCAAGGCGTCGGGCAGCGTCGCATTGCGTAGCATCGAGTAAATGTGTTCCCGGCTTAAGTCCTTTTTCAAAGACTTCAGGTTAGACCTAGTTTCAATTTTTGACCCCTCCAATTCATTCCAATTTCCTTTTTATATATTTGATTTTATTATATTCAATTTTTTGTCACTTTACGATTAAGACTTTTCCCCTTTGTTTGTTTTTTATTATAAGTATTTTTGTTGAAGTCGTGAGGAGCAGCCAAGAATGAGATAATTTAGAAAAACAACTTTCTCATTTTTCTCAACGTTTCGACCTTTATTTGGATCATCTTCAGGGCCTGGGTAAATTTCAAAATATTTGTTGATTGGAAAAATACAATTTAAAATGTAAATATAAATTTGAACCAATTCTACTCACATAAAGGGTGGTGCTATTATTGTGGTGTCATATTAGTTTTGTGTGAAAGTGTGAAACATGAATTTGTATTCTGCTTTTTCGTAGTTGTGACAGGGTGAGGGGCACGGTCAATATGGGAAATTTTCTTTCATTATAAGCGGTTATATTTAACTCAAAGGAAGTCGAGAACGGGGATTCTGGATTGGATTTGTGATTCGGCATCCAATTGTGGAAAGCAAGTTAATTATTAAGACAATAACGAAGGAAAGGGAAATGTAAAATTAAGGTTTAATAGTTTATTTGCTTTATGATGTAGGCGTAGCTACGGCTGAGTTTCCATGTATCTATTATATAATTAATGTTGTGTGTGTATCTTTTAATGCAAACCATTTCTAGAAAGTTGCGATTGTATTTATTTTTTTCCGTGTTTAGTGTTTGTATTTTGTCGAAATTCAGTCGTGTTGTATTTCAAAGTGGTGTGTGGCCAATGTTGAGGGATTGGGTTTTTGTGTTTTATAGTCTAGATGTGTCATTTTTTCCGTTTTTCTAGATATTGCGATGTAATTCCAATGTATGTTACTGGTCAGTTCATACAATTAATTATAAATTACATCGGATTTGTAGGCTGTTGTGTTGGGTCTTTGACTAAGCAAAAAGTGTATGTACAGTTTTATGGTTTTTAAAATCTTTTTTAATGTGTTCTGAGGAGAGAAATTTACTTAATTTGTGTGACAATGTAAGGACGAAATTTACCCCTGCCCTGAAGATGACCCGAATAAAAGCCAAAACGTCGGCAAAAAAATGAGAAAGGTGTTTTTCTAAACTACCTCATTCTTGACCGCTCCTCAAGACCTCAGTAAATTATGAAACAACAGGTCACAAATAAACAATATTATAAGTACTTTTACTGTTATTTTTTTTTTTTTTTTGTGCTATGATATAGGGAATAATGGTAAAACCTTGATTTATTATTTTTCTCTTTATTGTTTTTTTGTTCTTAATCGATATTACCGACCTCCGGCAGACGGATCGTAATCCTTGCCTGTACAGCTATATTCATGAAAATAAAAAACATTTTTAAAAAAGTCCTTAATTTTGTATGTGGTACTACAGTTAAAAAGACAATAAAAATTATTTTTTTTGGAAAACAATACATGTTTTTTTAATATTTTTTTTAGGAATACTCATATGTTGGTCTGCCTATTTTCACTGTAAATAACACTCACGCTCACTGAAGTTGGTAAGTTCTTTTACCTTCTAATCTATAATTCTAAATTTATATAATAGTATAATTTATTTGGTTAAAAAATGTACGTAAAAATGTTAATCTCCATTATAATTTAGTGAAAATGTTGATTAAACTTTATTCAGTGTGTGTTGATAAATTATATTGTTTATATTGTATTAATAAAACCATAGCCATATATACGCTATCCACCAAAAAAATAAAATAAAATAAATTAAAATAATTAAAAAAATTAATTAATTTAAAAAAACTGTTTTTACACGAAGAAATGGCTAACTTTGTAAAAGGAAATTTTATCAGTCTTTTAAATCACACACCTGCGCTAGATCCTTTTTTAAAAACACTTTTTTCATTCATTTCAATAATTCAATTTGATCCATTTTGTGTTTTTAAGCAATTTTATTTGTTCATTATTGTTAACGCACTCTGAATTGGGTTTGTTAAGGAACTTTATTAATTTCATTCAAGATTTCTTATTTCTACAAGATAATTAAGGTTTTTAGTTGATATGAAAAAAAGTTAAGAGGAGTTAAAAGCACGAGAGGGATTCGAACCCACGACCTTCGGCTAGATACGCCGCTGCTCTACCACCTGAGCTATCGTGACCTCGATCCACTCGGACATCAACGCCCCATCTCAACCCCACCTTATGAGTTTTCCCTCCTTTTGCCATTTTTCAAATGTCGTGTAATCGGTTTGGATTCTCGACGACAATTGAAATGGCGACGGAGAGCTTTAGTGAAGTGTACTTCATTTTAATTCATTAAATTCACTAATTTCGTGGTCCGCTTGACCAATTAATACTTTACAATTAATTAAGGTTTTTAGTTGCTGCTCTACCACCTGAGCTATCGGGACCTCGATCCATTAACTTTTTTCATCTCAACTAAAAACCTTAATTAATTGTAAAGTATTAATTGGTCAAGCGGACCACGAAATTAGTGAATTTCTACAAGATGTTTTACTAATTTAACATGGAAGAAAAATAGTGCATTTTCAATATTTAATCGTTTTTTATTACCACAAAGGTAAAACTATATCTCTGAATGCTAGGCAAATTTATGGTAATGACGCATTTGGAGAAAGCACAGGCACAGTGGTTTTCTTGGTTCAGACGCGGAAAGTTTGATTTGTGGGACAAAGTAACACAAAGTACTCTCGTCGTCCTTCATACATTGATGATGATCAAATTCAACCTTCTGGGACAAATTACCCACACTACACATCACGAGATAATGCGAAGACACTTGATATACCCTGACCATTAAAAAATAAAAAATAAAAATAAATAAATGAATGAATAAAAAAACCGACCACCAGGTTTTTGGGCGAAAAAATTGCCAACTTTAGAAATGCATATTTTCTCAGCCTTTTAAGTCAGACTTGCTCTAGGTCTCATCTCTTAGAAGATTTTACGCTACACAAAATGAATACAATTTATTTACTGTTTCATTAAAACTGTTTGTTTTGAAAATGGCAAAATTTTGAGAGAGGGAGTGTGCAAGAGAATGAAAAGTTAGGGAGTAGGTTAAATATTAAGGAGGTAGTAAATAAATGAATAATTAGAACTCAAGATACAGAAAGTAGGATAGATCAGAGGATAGTTGTTTTGAGTTTGTTAGGTGGTGCATGGATTGTTTGTGTCCAATGAGTGAGTTCCATTGTTCCCTCATTTCCTTTTTATCCTTCTGTTTGAGGTGTTCATTGATAGTGCTGATTCCTGTGCCACAAAAGGGCTCGGCTCCTATCAGCAGTATAGAAGCCCCTACCCTTGCAAGGGCGTGAGCATTAACGTTGCCTTCTACTCCCACATGTCCTGAGACCCAGCAGAGAGTGACTTCGTATTGCATACCCGATCTGTTTAGTTTTGTTTTGTAATCAGCACCATCTTATAGATAATGATTGAACTTAGCGTTTTTATGGCTGCTTGGCTAACTGACACGTTAGCTATGTTCTTGTTTTTGTACCCTTTATTAAAAGTGAATTGGGTACATCTGACGATTCCGTGGACCTGAGCTTCGAACATACCAGTGTATTTTCCCGTGGGTTCTGAGTATTTGGTTCCAGGACCGAATACTCCTACCCCGTACCTTCTTGCGTTCTAGATCCGTTTGTTTACCAGTAGATGGCGCTATTCTTAAAGGATGTATTTTTCTCTTTTCCCCATTCTTTTTCGGTACATAAGTTTATTTGGAAATTTTAGTTAAACTCGAACATCCTTTCCATGTCATCTCCTGGGGCCATGTGTATCGAATGGTCTTTCATTAAACTGTAGCAATCTCTCTATTTTAGTATTATTCCTACTGAAGGTTTCTCTTTGATAATACTAATGGTAGCTTTCTGTGCTGTCCTCATTATCATGTGGTGGAGGAGGATTAATACCAGGATCTTCACCATATCAGCTGTGGCATATGTTCTCATCGCTCCAGTTACAGATGCCTGTGGGTCTGTATTTTTTTGATGTCTCTTCGTTTTGTTATTTGTTCTACTTTCTACCCTAATTAGCTAAACAGTTATTCTCTCTCTACTTCTTCGAATTATATAAATTTTTGATTTTAGAGTTACGCTCTGACACACGATATACTTCCTCGTTTATTTTCTGTATTTGTAAATTTTAAATAAATGAGTATGGCATTATATTAAATCATATAAACAAGATGATCCAAAAATTCTTTTTTGACTTAAGAACAATAAAGAAGTTCTTTAAGCATTCTTTGATTCAACATTCTATGTTTGAAATATCTTTCGTTTTTTTGAATCAATTTTAGAATGTTTTTCGCCATTTTTCATATACATACTCAAATGAATTTAATGACTATGGTAATAAACTGTATATTACAATTTAAAACGAGGTAATTTTAACTTAAAAACATTAGTTATTTTAACTTGCACAGCTTGCTATTACATACTAATGGAGAAGAGAGTAAAGCAACATATCTATGATTGCAAAAAACCCAAACAAAATCCTACAGCACTGGGTACCCACCATTTCGAACACCAACAAAATTTCGACTTCAACAATCCAAAAATATTGCACACAGAACAAAACAAAATAAACCTAACTTTTAGAAATGGTTTACTTCAAGAGGGATAAACACAGCATCAATTACGGAACAGACACATGTAAACTCAGGCAATTCAATATCAATAACATACATATATTCACATTACACAAAAAATATAATATAACATATTGAACAATTAAATTCACTAGTTTCATGGTCCGCTTGACCAATTAATATCTTACCATTAATTAAGGTTTTTAGTTGAGATAAAAAAGTCAATGGCACGAGCGGGATTCGAACCCACGATCTTGATACGCCGCCGCTCTACCACTTGAGCTATCGTGACCTCGATCCACTCGGACACCAACCTCCCATCTCAACCACACCTTTTGAATTTTCCCTCCTTTTTGCCATTTTTCAAATGTCGTGTAATCAATTTGATTCTCGGCGACAAATGAAATGGCCACGGATAGCTTATTTATAGCTTTTTTATCTCAACTGAAAACCTTATTAAGAAATATTATATAATTAATATAATATAAATTCAATTTTTTTTCACATCCTTCATGTATTTGTAAAATTTAAACAATGTTTATAAATCCCAGGCCCTAAAGATGATCTCACTAAAGATCGAAACATTGGCATGATAAAGAAAATCGAATCCCGCTCGTGCCATTGACTTTTTATCTCAACTAAAAACATTAATTAATTGTAATATTTTAATTGGTCAAGCGGACCACGAAATTAGTGAAGATAAAAAATATTTTTCTAAAACCTACGTCACACCAGACCGCATCTCACGATCTCCAAATAATCATAACTTACTATGTATATTACGTTACGTACTACATATATTACATAAAATCTGCAAAGACGTAATAAAAACTAAATTACCATAAGCTTGGCAGAAAATTATATTTTACCACATCGCTGATCCAATCAAATATTGGTAATTTTTGAATTGACAGTTTGATGAAGTATAACGTTTTGAATATTCGTTCAGAAAAAAACAACATAGTAAGTTCGTTTGCGAAGAACACATTTTTGTAGATGTAAATTCTAACGTTGATATCATTACAGATTTTATCATCGGGGATAATTTATAAACGCCAAAATATGAATTCCCTTGGTTGAAATATAGTTTTGTGTAATGAACTGTTAAATTACGCCTGATTTGTTCCGCCAGAAGTCATTAAGTCCGTCGAGTTGATTAGAGTAGGTGAAATATGTTAGGCATCACCGGGAGATATGAGTATGAAGAGAGGACGCTCTATGTACATATTTCATTGGAGCTTAGTCCGTCCTCTCCCCCGCACGCTGTATTATGCACAATATTTGCCCCTGAATTATGTAGACAATCCTGGGAGGGGCCCACCGACAAGCCCCTAATCTCCCGCAAACTTACAGTACATTACTCACATCCCTCTACACTTAGCTGGTATACATTATACAAGCTTCGCCCCGCCCCCCCTCAGATCACAAGGATTTCCTATCTTCATCTGAATCGCTATAGCATTCTGTCGAGTTGTGGGGCGAGGCTCGTTTCAGATACACAGGTATACCCAAATGGCCTCAGGCCCCTTCCCGCAAGATAGCCAAATCGCCTTCTCCAACAGAATATTCACCATTTGCTTCTTCAAATATTCAAAGCGAACGGTCCGTGTATTATGTTTTTAAAGAACGAAACCTCGTTTAAAATGCATTTTGTTTTAAATTCACTCTTAGTGGAAAAATGTTTAAACCAGGATAGGAAAGTGTGACCGCCAAACACTTGGTCCGGTTGATTTTATTGGTCACAGGTGTTAAAATTAATTTAATGTATTAAACCTAGTTTTGCAGGGAAATATTTAAAACAACAAAACGATTTTAATTGATCTATTTGTCGGTAGTTTTTTATCATTTTAGTCTGCCTATTCTCGCTGTTAGTATGTCAGGCGCGTTTCGACTCCTCGCCATCCTTAGCGGTTGGTACAAGTTATCAAAATTCAC